CCCTCCACCCACACTCACCATTGAAATTGCTCATGAATATTGCTCTCATGCCTAAGGATTTCTTGTGAACAACAAGCGCACCGGATATTGTTTGTTTCAGCACAATGCAGGTACCGGTTCAACTCCCATATGCGATATAAAATTAACTTTTTTAGTTTTCATGGAGTAAGGATTGTGTTTCGGTATAAACTGCCAAGAAATGTACGGCACATCACTGTCCCACAAAAAGCAATAATCTTGATGTTATGGCATGATTATTAATAGGGTGTGAGGTTCGCGGCGGTCCATATTGTCTGATGCGTCTTTCTTACGGTGCAGTTCGACCTACCAACTTCATACCACCTGAAAGTAAGCACAAGGCGTAAACCATAATATTCATTAATTTATTTTAATCACTGATGTTTCAGGCCATGTAGGTTGAACTTGACTCTACTTGGCTGATCATGTAATGCTTGCATTAGTCTTATGCGGTCGTCTGTACTTTTTGGTCCAAATGACGAGGCGATACAGCGTGTCTATTGGTTGACCGATTTTCCGTCCCTCTCCGCACGCACGTACAGAGGAAGACATTTTGTAGGTTCAACATTATGACTTGCTCTTCGAAAGTCCCCCCTCCCCTTCTGATTGTTGCAGTTGCACTTTTTGGCAGGTGTGTTGAAGATGACACTGGTGCTTAGATACCTTCCGTTTCCGTACGTTAGCTGTGCGAATTTGAATCTCAGTGCGGCGTAAATTTTGTTATTGAACGTCATTTCCATTTGGCAAAGAACTCACTGCTCTTCGGTTGATTGACAAAGAAACACTATTTTGGTGTTCATCTACGAACTGTGTGAACGGCATGTAGTTCTACTGTAGTCATACTAGAATTTGCAAGCTTGTTACCGTAAAACACCTTCAGTTGTGATGCTGCGATGCCGGTATTTTACCAGTGCCGTGTGCCTTCATTCACTTTGTACCTGATCTGCCCAGTAGAGAATTCATTGATTATAACGTAGGAATTAAGCTGTGGCCAGATTCTAACTAGTGCATGTCATTTAACCTGTTTGTTAAGCAATGCAAAGTGAGTCATTGGATGGTTTTTCATTTCTATATTAAAGTTGGGCATATCCTGTTAAGTACTCAATTTTTGAACTATTTTCACTACTACTTTATTTCATGTGTAAATACGGCACAGAGAAATTTATGGACGAATTGCGCAGATACTTGACACGGATGAAATGTTATGCGTATCGATTAATAAAAATAAACTTTTGCATTCTTTCAATATATTATTTTAGTCATGCATATACAAGTTCATCCCTCATAACTAGAACTCATTATCAAAATTAACTGACTGTTCACAAATAAGGTACTTTCTTGTACGTTTAATCCTGGTAAAGGTCTTACTGATTCTGTATAGGGTAGAAAAACATTGTGGTTGCTAAGTTTTTTGGTCTAAGACAAAGCAACAATTAACGACTCAGATTTTAGGTTTTAAACAGACCGAAATGGAGTTATGCCGATGTTAACGCTGAAAATTACTCATCAGCAAAGCGCATCTTTCTCTTGCTTCTGTGTGTATGTAGAGCTAACCAGGATTCCAATACACTTAGTCACTTGTGATACATGAAGACACAATAGTTTAACAGAACAACATACATGCTTAAGGCACCAATGCATACTGTGTATATTAAATATATAAACTAAAAACATTGCAGCATTATGACCCTCGTGCTTCACCAGCTAGAATTGGGTTGATCCAATAAGGCTATTGAGACTATTTTTACAAGACTGAGACTACTACTTCGTACAAGTCATTACACCGGATGTACGGCAAAGTTGCACTTATCGTTTCTTTTCGAGGTGGTTTCGTTTTGCTTGTTTGTTGGCATTCAATTGAGTAAAATTTCTGTGATCTGTAGTCAGTCAGATCAATCAGTGACATCACCGGTAGTTCATATTTCATTACTAAAAGCTACTACTTTACAACCCTGCTAGAAATTTAAATTATTACTTCTGATTTTTATTTAGCGACAAAAATCAACACAAACCCTACAGATCCTTTACACAGCAGGCAATTGATTTTCTCAGATTATCTTTAAAATAGAAACGCCCAAATGTATTCCAAGGATGCTTTTTGAAATATTTTATTCGTACACCTGTCAGTGTCTTCATATTGTACCAGCTGTGCCATACAGCTTTTCAACCCGCTCCTGCAGTTATTTTGTAGGAAGATTTATGACGTAATTTTCGATTTGTTTACTATTGCCTTATGACTAATTCATAATGATTCAAATTTTAATCTGTACTCCCATATTAAATGATAAATTTGAGGATGAATTCAATAAACAATTTTAAAAAATGTAATAAAATGTCACCGCCATGTGTTTGTGCAGCTTGAACTCAGGATTATTTTCACTTCAGCTATATCTGTATGTTCACAAACACATGGTGAGTAATTTTGCAGAATCCCCTTATTCAGACCGTCTCAGAAATGTTGTCTTAACTCCCATACTCCACACGTGGTTCAATCCCGTGGCAGTGGAACCATGGCCCGCTCAAAATATCCTTTTAGGCGAGCGCTATAAGCAGACAGGGGGTTCGTGAATTTCTTACAGCGCAGCAGGCCAGCAGGTGGTTATCGGTTGATAGCTCTGCGCCTCTTTTAACACGAACATCCATTACTGAGCGTCTTAGGTCAGACGATACG